TTGATAATACTTGAATGAGCGTTTCTTTTTTTTTTTTTTAATAATGAACGGTGATAATATGATATTAGTCTCCTCTTATGATTTGAATTAATTAATAATTTTTTGACACTGGGTTTTTTCCTTTTTCTATTTTGTATGTTATAATGATAACTTGAAAATTATGGCTTGTTGAAAGAATTGTATTTGAGCACTAAGAGCCAAAAAAAATGCCACCAAACTGTTACAATAGTAAAACTTGTTTTTTAATTTAGCATATTGATCTCATTCTTGTCATTAAATATACTGTATTAAAGTTAATAAGAAAGTTTACTACAAGATTGACACTAATTCTAAACGTTTTTTTCCCCTAAATTTTCAAGCACTCACTTAAAAGAAAAGACAGAGTTTTCAACTATTACCTTTTAAAATTATCCTACATATATTTACGATTCTTTATTTTAACGAACTTTTAATTTTAATCTAGATAAAAAAATATTATTTATGTTTTTTATTTTTATAATTTTTTTAATTTCTATTATTGACATGCCCAGTGAGAGATGAACAAGCACCCTACAAATGAAGAAAAATTTAACAAATCTGACAATAGAAAGATGAAATGGTCGAGTCTAAGCAAGACTAATGAAGTTACCAATATGCAACTTGAAATTTCATTTTTCATATTTTTTGTTTCACTCTTACATTTTCTTTTGCCTGACACATACAGCAATCTTGTTTGCATGACAATGTGATCTAATTGCAATGTGATTTTGTTTGTGAAAAGAATCTACAGAAACAATTGATCACTTGAATGACTCATCACCCACAGAATCTGACCTACCATGTTATTGGAACCAACCTTTATTTTGAGGTTTTCTATTAGCTTTGGTTTTAGACTTATTGACCCAAAACTGTCCCTAAATTAGACTATGTTAACGATATACATTTTATAAAAATATAAAGAATAAAATAAAAAATATTATAAAAAAATTATTAAATATAAAGAATAAAAAGCATATTTAAAGCTAAATAAAATAAAATACATCACATCAACATTTAAATTAAAAATTTTCACATAATGTAAAAAAAAAAAAAAGTAAGTTGCTGTTAGTCGCAAAAAATGCAGCATATGCACCAATTCTTAGATGGTACCGCATTCAAAGGACAACTGCACAGCTTTACTTGTCGAGTGTTCACAATAGCCGGTTGTTGTACATACTTGACCAATCATGTCAAAATAATGATAATAATAATTAAAAGTCTCATGTATAATCTTTATTTATTTATTTAGAACAAAATTATATAGAATAAAAATTTAAATTATTTTATTAAGATTAGTGCTAGACTTTCTAATTTATCTTATTAATGATTTTTTGCTCTTAAATTATTTAAATAGTATAATATTTTTAATGAATAAGACTATCAATTATATTTCCAGTGTTCAAAGAACTGCGAGATGGTTTTACACTGTGTCTCAACGTGTAATTCATTTCATTATTATATATTCCACACCAACTTAACTAACTAACAGTTTACCACGTGTAAGCAGTTTATCATTTGTAAGCAAAGTCATAGCTAAATTCGTTTACTCTTGTTTATAAAAAAATATTTTTAAAATTATAAAAGTAAAAATTATTTTTAAATGTATAATGTATTAATTGTTAACATAATATTTATTTATTATCTATGTAAATAAATATTTATTCATCGATATATAAGCCATCAATTATTTTATAAATATTTTAAAATAAATTTAAATTTATAATATATAATTATATTTTATTAGTTTTGATTAAATAATTAATTATTTTTTATAAATAAAATTAAATAAAGTAATGTTTTCAACGTTTGTTTATGTAAAGACATACAGTAAAAATTTAAGTATAATAAATATAATATTTTTATTAAAAACAAATCATTGATACTACTTTTAAAATTTTAATATAGTAAATATTTTCAATAAAAATGTTTTATTTATTCCCATCCTTAAAATTGAATTTAATATTTTAATTTTTTTTAAGGAAAATTATAAATTTATACACGAGTAAAGTTAAATATTATATTATTTTGATAAAAAAAATTCTACATATTAAAATATTTTTATTTTTGTTTTAATTTTTTTTTAAAAATAAAATATAATACTTATTATATTTTATTTTAAAAACAAAAAACTATTTTTAAAATAGATATTAAATGTCCTCTTAATTTTTTATTATGTGCGTTGTGTTTTACGCGATAAAAAAATAATTGTTTTTATCAAGTGGCAACATGGGTGTGGATCAATGAGTATATAAAGAAGACTAAAGTTGTGTTCATAGCAACAAATCAGGTGACAAGTTCGGAGCATAAACACACAAAAAATAAAGATTCTCTTTCCCATTCTCATGGCTTCTATGAATGGTCACAAAGCAACAGAGCTCGTGGAAGCTCAAAGTGAGTTATAGAGAGTTATGTATGGCTTTCTGAATCCCATGTCCATAAAATGGGCCGTTGACCTTAGCATACCAAATATAATCCACAACCATGGCCAACCCATTACTCTTTCTGAATTGCTTTTAGCTCTGAATGTTCCAAAAGTGAAAGCTACCTGTGTCCAACGCCTCATGGCTTCTTTGCAATCATAAAAGTTGATGATAACACGGAAGCATATGCTCTTACCCCACTATCAGAACTCCTTGTCAGCAACACTGACCATTGCTTATCTTCAATGGTTAAGTTGTTAAACAACCCAATTCTTGTTGGTTCATACCATCAATTGGGAAAATGGACTTCTGGGGAGGAACACACTATCATTGAGACCGCATTAGGTCGAGAAGATTATTGGGATTTCATTCATCAAAATCCCACTCATATGAAAACCTTTAATGAGGCTATGGAAAGTGATTCTTATGTAGTAAGGTTGGCATTAAGTGATTGTAAATCAGCTTTTGAAGGCCTTCATTCTTTAGTTGATGTTGGAGGTGGAACTGGAAACACAGCTAAGATTATTTGTGAGGCGTTTCCAAATTTAAAATACATTGTCTTGGACCTTCCTCAGGTTGTTGCAGGCTTAACAGGAAGCAAAAATTTGAGTTTTGTTGGTGGAAACATGTTTAAGTCTATCCCTCAAGCTGATGCCATTTTACTCAAGGTACACCTAAAACCACAAATTATCATACAATTTATTTTTAAGAATTTGATTAACCTTAGCCTTAAGTCTGATTTTTTATTAAAAAATATTTTTATTATATTAAAAATATGAATGTAATGAATATTTTTTAATAAATTTTTATTATAATTAATTGCTTAAACTCAGTTTTAGACTGAATATAACATTTTCTTTTTTTTAACATTGACATTAATCATATGTTTATTTGTAAAGATATTCTGATCATTTGTTGTTAATTTTGCAGTGGGTTTTACACAATTGGAATGATGATGATTGCATAAAGATACTAAAAAATTGTAAAGATGCAATTTCAGGCAATGGCAAAGGAGGAAAAGTGATAATAATAGATATAGTGATAAATGAGAAGCAAGATGAACGTGAAATGACAGAAGTAAAGCTTTTATTTGACATTATTATGATGACTTGTCTCAATGGAAAAGAGAGAGATGAAAATGATTGGAAGCATCTTTTTATGGAAGCAGGCTTCAAACATTACAAGATATTCCCCACATTTGGTTTTAGGTCTCTTATTGAGCTTTACCCATAAGACTATTGTAATTTAGGAATATGTCGTCTAATTTGTCAAGTTTAAATTGGAATAATGTTGTACTATCTACAACAAGTTATAGCAGACTTTCAAGTCACCACCCAATATTTGTTTGTGCAAACATTTTTAAATTTATTTCTCAAAGATGATGCAATTTTAGTGAAAGCAAGAAAATGGTAGTTGAGTTACTTGATTTTGCTTTCTGTAAACTTACATAGATTGGTTTTGATGGCATTCTAGGTTTATAATTTTTACATATTACTTTCTTCAACGTTTTCTTCCCGGCCACCTGCATATGATGGCCACGGTCTATGGGATGCAAAAATACATCTTGACACATCCTCTGTTTGGGGTTTTGCTGAAAGCTAATGCTGATTTTTTTAGAGTAAATTACTCCTATAATTTTATGATTTCATAATTTATTCTTATACATTTTCTTATGTCATTAACCCTTTTTGTTCTACTTTTTTCGTGTCACTTAACTCCTTATTGTAATACTTTTTATACCACTTTACTTTTTTTAGAGTTTATTGATAGAAAGCATATATAAGTGTGTGAATATTATTTTAAATTAAAGGAAAGCATGTTCTTGTATCTTGAATCTGTCATATCTTGCAAAGGGGTCTATAATATAATTGTCCATTTTCCCAAATGATGCTGTGAACAAACATTAGTTCGGTTGTTTAACAACTCAACCATGTAATACAGACAGTGATCAGTGTCAATGCCAAGGTCTTTTTGATGCTGGGGTAAGTGAACAATAATATGAAGCGGAAGAAGTGCTGGATTAAAACAAGTGCCTTGTATAGATCCAACCCAATAGAATAAACAGGCTTTAATATAAAGTATATATAATAGGAATCAATGCACAAAAAGCTTTCAAAAAAGGAGGAAAACGAAGTGCTGTATATTTATTTATCTTTTAATTAAGGAATTGATGCATAGGTCCGGCCTTTTCTTGCTGTCTATAGTTAGGTCCACTTGAAATTATTCTCTTTCTAGTTTGTTGCCAATATGTAAAAGGTTAGCCATTCTATAAACCTATGATGAGAATTGAATCCGATCCCCTCTTTAAATTCCATGCATATATAAACTGACATTGTTATCCCTTGGTAAAAATAATTTGATTCAAAAGAGTTGAATTCAACCTCATTATCCAAACAATCAAATTCAATTGAATTCCTAAATAATTTGTTGCAGACAGAAGAGAACTGATTACCCAACCACACTATTGAAAATTGGATCCGGATACACTGCAGTTTTGGCGGGAACTGCACCCTTGAAAGTGTTTCCATACATAAACATAAAAATGATCCATTAATCCAATTGTTACTTTGTTGAGAGAGGGAAGCCAATTCCATGTCTCTGCGTAGGAAATGCTACAAACAGCATGCTGCACAAAACGCCAATAACAACTGGCAACGCTGTTAGGACTTCCTGTGTCTCATCTGAGGGTGATGGAAAGAGGCAATTTACCACATTTTGATCAAATAATGCAATTGCTGCAAATACCAAAATTGCCATTACTGCATGCATGAAATCTATAAACCGCAGTCTATATTTTGCAGCAAGCTCAGGTGGAAGGGTGGTTGATCCATCAACGACCCAGAAGCCCCTTAAGGTGGCAAACCCATAACAAACATTCCCCTTGTTGTCTCTGAAGCTATCACTAAAGCATAGCAAGAAACAAGAGGCACCACATAGAGCTACAAGTGTAGCAGTCATTAACTTGCTAACTGAGTCACAGTTGCCTTGGTTTGTGACAATTGGGGATAGGATTTGGAAAGAAAGGACAGTGCCAGTTGGTAAAAGATTGGACAAATGTGCTGTGCTTTGAAATGTTTGATTGATGGCTCTCTGAATTAGGTTTCTCTCCGGTTCTGGCACCTCCATATTGTGCAAGAGTGGTAGCTTTTGTTGGTCATCATTCTCAGAACCATAGATGTCTACTTTAACATCCATAGCCTTTTGAACTTTCCAGCTTGATCAGCTTTTAGTTTGGCAGAATATGTTTGCTAAAATTGGATTTATTCTATATAGTTGCAGAGAATTAAGGGAAGGAGTATTGTCATGGCTTGCAAGATACACTAACTGAAAACTTGATAAATCAGCTTTTAGCTTAATTTATGGTACTTTGTTATCCAGGGCCAAAAGTTAGTTAGTTAGAAGAAAGGTTTTAGGAAATACGGTTCTTGTTTTCTTGCCTCATAAAGCATACATGACAATTATTAATGCAAAAGCTTGAGCAAGATAAGAGAGATAACGCGTAGGATTTCAGTTGTTAACTTTTTAAGAGTGAAGTTTGGTGCATGGGGAATTTTTTGCTTAGACGCAATGGCTGCAAAATGGGATTTGCATAGGTTCTTTTTATAAGCACATGATGCAATGTGCGCAGAGAGGTTAATCCATGGATAAATAAGTAATCTTATTCTAAGCCAACTTATGTATTTGTCCTTAAAATAGAATTTTTTCATGTGTAAGGAAGTCAGTATCTTTTTTATTCAACAATCCATGCTCCTGATTTTTATCGTTTACATTTTTTTTTTTCGCCCCGGTTCTAAGTTATGTAGAATTTAGATAGCAGTAGTAACCAATTATCATTTTATATTCAACCCAAATAATATAGAATTAATGCATAAAAATATCAATAATATAATCATAAATTTATAGTTTGTGGTTTTTTCAAAAATATGATTTAGCATATCTCATAATTGTTATTTAATTTACCGTTATCAAAGTCAAATGCGTGTATGTTTTACAAACATGTGTACATGTAAATAAGCAAACAGCATTTTTTTGGTTAAAAAATAAGCATATATCATTAAAAAAAAAAATATTCGTATATACAACTGAGGGATATGTTTGAACTTTGAAAACCAAAGGCCCAAGACAAGAAATTCATTGGACTTAAATATGTGGGGCAGTGATGGACATATTTTTGTATTTTTGTTTGGCAGGCCCATTAAACTTGTTAGGCTTTATTCTCCGGTTCCAGATGGTGGTGGCCTAATAATAACACTAGTGATTACAGATTAGTGAACAGCATCCTCACAATCATGCTAGCGATGGGTCCAAATAAGTCTGGGTGAAGTTATGATCATCAATTCAATGGTACCCTTGGTTTTGTCCTAAGCATGTACCTTATGATAGAGTTGGATATAGTTGTCAGTTGCCACTGCATTTGCCAAATCTAACTTAGTTGGACCTGAACCAGATATGGTGACGTACCTCAATTTCAGCACAGTTATTCTTGTTCTGTCTGTTCCCCACACCTTCTGCTGAATCCCACTGCTTCTTACTGTAGAGGGTGGACATGTATATACGCAAGCACTCACCTATTCAAAAATGCATTATAGTTTCACTGTGCACAAAATCTTAGAACAGTGAATACATGAAATTTAATATTTTTATTTTCAACAAGTTTGAATATTCGTTTGCTGTGCATGTATGCGATGTTTCGCTAACGAGTGTAATTAGAGTGAAAAAGAGTGATTGAACTTCAAATTTGAGTGACTTGTTTATTTAAAATACGTTAGACAATTTAGATTCATCATCTTTTTGCAACTTTTACTTATATACATTATAATTTGTTACTAGTTCACTAATGTAAAACCATTATCTGACACAGTGATTTTAGTGGGAATAAAAATGGAGAAAGAATAAAATAATCAGTCATGTAGAAAAAGAACATAAACTTCCTAGCATCAATATTCTTACATGATATGAATTATTAATGATAAAAGTATTGTTTTGAAGTGTTGACGTATAGTGGCAATCGTGGAAGTACGTAGTATAATCGATGTTGGTAAGGTAACTCACGATGACAGTAGTGATGGTATTGGGATTGTGATAGCGACGAAAATGGAAGTGATCATGAGATGAGCTTGTAGTAGCGATTATGATGGCTATGACTATGGCAATGATGAGTGAGACAATTGCAAGAGCACAAGAGCTAGTGATATGAGTATCATAACAGTATCGATGAAAATGACAATAGTAGTGACCATCAATGTTTTTACTATTTTAAAATAAACAAATATTTTGATAATTGAATTTTATACAGAATTAAATATTTATTCAAAATGTTTTATGGAAAAATATTGTATAGCCTGTTTGCTTACCATCAATAACTCAGTGTTTTACGTAATTAGAAAATTTTTAATTTCTCACAGGACTTGCTTAAGTTTACGTGTAAACAGAGTTTTTTTTTTAATTAAATAAAATATTCAGTAAATATAGATCTGCTCCTGTTGATGAAAAAATAATTCAGTTTCATTTTTATCTAAGCAAATATATGTTTATATAAGTAAAAATAAAAATAAAAATTATATTTTTTCTTTGTCTTTCACAACTTTCTTTCTCTTTTCCTTCTCTTCCGTCCTCCTCTTCTCTCCTCATAATCTAATTTATGCACTAATTTAAACTTTATTTATAATCTAATTAATACAATTATATTTATTTTTTAACTGAAAAGCTAAAGTATTAATCTTGAAACAAATAATAAAAAAAGAATTGAAATAATCGATTTAATTTAAATTGAAAAAAATAAATTTTAATTAACTTAATTTTACTGTTAATCTCAAATTCATTTTATTTTTAGTTTAACCTTTTTTAATCTCAAAATTAATCTTAAGCAAACCACAGATAACTCTAAATAAACTTACAAATTTTTAGTACCATTTTCATTTTGGTTAAAGTCAGTCCAAATTTTGATTGGCCTAATACAGCATGGCTTGTAATGGGCTGAGACAACCACTAGGCTTTATCTTCCTTTCTTAATGATAATTTAAGTAATTGTTTTAACTTTAGCTGGGCTCAAATGAAACTTTCTGAGGTAGATCTTTTTGGAATTTACATCCAACCAAATTGGGTCTAAACCATCGTAATGGATATATTGAATTATAATTCAATCTAAAAAGATGCAATCTCATAATTTATTTCAATAGAAATGGAATTGAAAGGAGAGGATCCATTGATCCAACCAATACAAAAAAAAAAACATTATTTACAATAATTTAATATTAAATTAGTTTTTAAACAAAAATTGAATTAGTAGTATAATGACTTTGAGTTTATAAATAATAAGATATATATACTAACAAATAACTTTATTAATACTTAACATTAATATATCCTATAAAATTAATTAGTATCTTGCGTTATTGTTTGAATTTAAGCTGCAGGAGTTTGTTTTAATATTTTCTATTTGTCACAGTTTATTATCAGCGGTTTTGTTAAGATTAATTTTTAAGGATAATTGAGTAATTATTTTATAAGAAAGTATAATGCATAGTAAATGTTTATTAATAAAATCTTATTTTGTTAACCATAAAATTTCTTGATAAGTAGTGTCCAATTTTCTATGGAAGAATCTTTAGCGAATAATAAGAGCTCTAGAGTGCAGAATCTGGTCATTGAGGTTAGGTACCTACACACATAGAGAAATTGTTGTATTCACCTAAAAATTTTATACAATTTTTTAAAAAGTTTTATCTTTATAGTTTTGTATGTAGCTCAGTCCAAGCAACTATTTATCCAAAATGAACCAAAAAGTAAGTTGAAAATTATTTCCTTTTCCTTTCTATAACATCCTTTAAGCTATCATTATTGATATATTCATTTATAAACACACTTTTCTTTTTGGTGGAAAGCACATAATATAGTTATGATATGTGGGCGCTTCTTCTCTCCCCACATAGCAACATCATATATCATGAGGATGCTCCCCTGTAACGGTTAGTAATTTCAGACTTTGCTTCTCAGGTAAGAATGGCCCAGTTAAATCATTGACTTTTTTTATTCGTACTTTCCCCTTATTTACAATTTTTAAGAAAACAGAAATTCATATAATCCATTTTTATCAAATATTTCTTAGTAATTTTTACCTTATATGATAGTACTTTCTCAAAAAAAAAAAAAAGGAGAATGGTACTACAATGCATATTTTGCTTGAAAAAACTCAGCATCATTCGACAAGGTTAAAATGTTGATTGAAGATCATGAATTTAATTTTTAATTTCGTTATACCAAATTTCAATTTTTAACTGTGTAACTAAAACTTTTTAGTTAATTTTGTATTCTTTTATATGATCTTAATTCATTAAAAGTAAAACCTGTAATGTAATGTCAAATTTTTAAAAGATGGTAATCACACATTTTAAGACTAATTTTAAGTAATTAAAAGTGATAATTTTTTTATTAAAACTTAAATAAAGATATTGTTTTTAAATAAAAATCGTTCCCTTTTAGAAAATTTCTAAATGACTCTATAATTTCATGATATAAGTTGACGGGAAATAAAACAGACATGGGATTTGAACGATTGCAATTATTAGTATTCTTAATTGCTACTCTAGAATCATGTCTTCAACTTCAAGATTGTGAAATTACTGGCCCCAACCAAATGGACCCTTATGGTGAATCTTTGCTTCTAGTCCAGGACTTAGTATTAGCAAGAATATTAAAACACGTTATTTAACATATTCTTTTAAAATGTTTTTTTTTTTGCTAATACTTTCTAAAAAATCACAATATTATGAATAAAATTGATCAAATACAAAATAAAACTCGCATTATTTTATGAATTTTGATAAATTTTAATTAATAACAAAGAATGTATTTATAAAACTATGTTACTAATATTCTTTTTATTCATGACTAATGTGTATAAATCACTCCGGTAAGCTTTGACCATTCACCTTACAATCGATGTTTCAATTTTCAACTTCAATTATTTTAATCATCAGAGAGAGAAAGAGGAGGTGTAGGTGAAGTGATGATGGGTTGCATGGACTGTAAAGAGCTTGGCCAGTATTTTACGTTAAGAGAGCACAAACAAGCATGTTGATAGAGCAATAGCCCTTCAAAATCATGAAGGAGAAACCATTTCCCGTTCCTAATAATTGACACCCTGAACTTTTTGTTCAATAGGTTTCGCTTTCTGTTTCTAGTATAGTACCAAT